GTGAATATACATTTTTTTTTGTTTTATTTAATTAATGCATGTTATTTTTTAAGTTCATGATTATGTTTGTTAAATTGTATATACAGCTTGGTGAGGTCAGCCCTAGGCTGGGGTACCGCTCTCTATAAAACCTCTAATAATAATAATAATAATAATAATAGTGTGTCGAAAAAAGGGGGGGGGCAGAGAGAGTAAACGATCTTTTTAAACAATTTTTCAAGCATAAATGCGTGATCTTATATTAGAGTAACCCCCCACCCAACCCCACCCACCACCTCCCAACCACACCTTAAAAAAAAATTATAAAAATGCTGAATCGCGATATTTTAGGTGTAACGAGACTCTCAAGTTGTTGGGTGGAAGGTCGACATCGCACAGGCGAAGACCGATTGCTGATCAATTAGTCAACAGGCACAAGAGCACGTGCCCAAACGGCTGCTGCACCTGGCGTCATGACGATGACGGATCAGTCAGCGTTGCAACCGACATTGAAAAACGAACGATTTGAGAAGGCGGTACTGCGATGCGTCGTACGTAGATCAAGGACAGTCTCTTTGTAAACACACCGGTAAAGGGATAATACCCGGGGGACTGCTGGCGTGCCGTGTGCAGCCGAAACAGTCAAGAGTTCAACAATACATAGTTAGGCTTGACCCCAAAAAAAAAAAGATAGAACAATTTAAAGGAAAGACGTTTCGGCTAAATGCCTTCTTCAGCACACGATGCAAAACAAGAATTGCCAAGTTATTGGAAAATTAAAAAAAACTCAAGTGTTCCCAGACAGTGGCGTAGCGATGGGGGGTGCGGACCGCACCGGGTGACACCATTTTAGGGGTGACACCCGTTTGAAAAAAATTGCATATTTACATAGCACACAGTTCTCGGTCTAACCGAGATTCATAAAAGGACAACCGATCACACATTCATTTTTCACAAATGTAACCAATCCAAATGCGGGCTTTATTGAAAGTTCAACGTTGGTTCGTCAGAAATAAGATGACCCTTAGATTAGGTCAGAAAAACAGTCATTATATCATGTCATGCCGATTAAAGTGTACTGTAACTTTCGTAAGTTACAGTTTAGGAGGCTATATTTATCTAAAACTCTGTGTGTATGTGGCTTCATGTGAGCGGAGCTTTTCAAAACTAAGGCTTACCAAGAAATATTTATGATCCACCATGAGACAGTCAAGGCTTTCTGATGGGGCTCTGCTATCAATTGAAAGTGATAAGGTGAAGGACATTGATTTTAATCATGTCATTGACAGGTTTGCAACTTTGAAGACAAGGCAAGGAAATTTTAAATAACATAAATTTAATGTAAAAATAACTATAACTTAACGTTGTTACAGTTTGTAAATACATTGACCTCATGACCTTCCATACGTGTTTTAATTCTTGTTATTGTTATGCTGTGGACTTATTTTAACAGGAAGAAATACATCATGGAAGTCTTTGAGGGGGGGGGGGGGAGAACACCATGAGTTTACCGGGTGATACCAACCCTAGCTACGCCACTGCTCCCAGACCATAATGTAGCTGTCTCCGTGAGTAATCAATTGAGTAAGTGTTTGTTTAGTAACTGGTTTGGTTAGTAAGTGTTTGGTTAGAAAGTGTTTGGTTAGTAAGTGTTTGGTTAGAAAGTGTTTGATGAAAGTACTGGAATAGATGACTCGACTAACTTGACTCTATCAATCATATTAGAAGTGCTGCTCATTATTTTAAACAACGATGAGTAACCATCAAAGGTTATGAAGTTATGACACATAACACACCACACCTATTAGTACACATATGGCACATATGGGTTTCAGTGGCACACAATATTTATTTCAAAGCCCGATGTGAGTCCCCCCCCACACCCCACCCCCCAAGCCCTACAACAATGCTCATAGCCGTATGTACGCCATCTTGACCTCGTTCTAATGTATATATTGGTTCGTTTCAAGTTATTTTAATTAAAACTTTATTTTTTCTGTTTAGAAACGTCCTGTTCATCCCGTTAATATTGGGGGGTGTGGGTGGGGTGTGAGGTGAGGGGGTGTGGGGGTTGGGTGGAGTGTTGATATACCACTATTCCTCTGAATGCCAATTTTATTCTATTTTATTTTATTCTTCGGGTGGTTGGGGGCGGGGGGGGGGGGGGGGTTCACTTCTGGGAATGATAGTGACGATCTTTATTCATGTCACTGAGCTCAGCGGTTGGAGGGCCTCTAAAAAGACGAAGCGGCCCTCGCTCACGGCCCTTTGAGACCCCTCGAAACGACATGACAGTCGTTAGAGGGCAAGCCAAGTAGATGGAAGAATCTTTTGTGGAGTAAAACAAAGTTTGTCTGAATGTTTTTATTGTTTTGTTTTGAGGCCACCGTTAGCGGACTGTTCAATGCACCTGCAGGCAGGGACGTGTACACAGGGGGTTAAGAAAGAAGATGCTTCCAATGATTTTTTTTTTAAAAGGGAGAGGGGATAAAATAGCAGATTTTTAAAGAAAATTTAAACTACAATAAAAATTACAGCCCAATAAAGTCATTTTTTAAAAATAATCTTTAAATTTGATCATTCGATTTCCTGAAAAATTTAAAGAGTTATTAATCAAATTATCAAACATTATCATCTTGTGTCATGAAAATTGTTGTTGCATAGTTGATAATTCTGTGTTATTAATATCCATAGTGAATTGTCGAATTAAACACCATACAGTGACTCATGACTATGGGTATGACTGACAAGAGTGGCATGACTGACATGGTCCACAGACAGAAGCCACCAAGTCCGGGAAAGGGGGGGGGGGGATATGGGCTCACACAACTAAAACAAAAA